GTCACTTGTCAATTAGGCCGGGTCCAAAAACAATTGCCAGTGCAAAATGCTATGCAAATCTCAAGAGGCCGCCGGATTCAGAAAACCCCACCTAAGACTGGTCTTACCCCACTTTGGCATTGGGGAAAATCGGCTTAGATGCGCTCAGCCACCTTGAGAGGTTTTGGCATCTCACTGCGCTGCTTTTTCATTAATTAATTAACTTGCAAAGGAGTATCTCCCGCTCGTTGCATAAATATTTGACTTGCCGGCAGCAGCAAAAATGAGATTTACTTTCTAGGAATTTAAATGAATAGCTGTCAGTCAGTCAGTCAGTCATCCAGTCAGCCAGTGGGTTTGTCTATCCGCATACTGAGTACAATTAGAGTTGGATTTAGCAGTTTCCTTGCTGTTTGCTATCGCGGCTCTGGCATTGCATAAAAATAAGCTGTCTTTGCAATAAGCAATAAGAACAACAAAGTCGCGGTCCGCCGGGAAAAGCCGATAGTAAGCTTTTCCTTTTTCCGCTTTCCCCACTGTCTTAGCCCAAGTTTTGAGTAATGAAACCGCTCCGCGAAAAGTTCTATGCTGTAAATCTGTTGGATTAATTATTACAACTCGGAATTGTTTACAACGGATGCGCAGCGCTTTGACTTTTTGCTTGTTGCTGATTACGCTTTGTTGGCTTTTCTTTTGTTTTATTTGCTGCTTATCTCTGCATAGTTTTTCCTCTTATTCAACTTGTTTTCCAAGAGTTTTCTTATCTAAACGACATGTGTATAAACATTTTGCTGCCTCATTTAGTTTAACTTTGGGGTCCAGCGAGGCACAAAAATCAACTGCCAAAGATTGTGTCCCAAAAGCAATTGGTACACAAAAGGGTCTTTAGCCAAACACTCCAATAAAGTGCAATGTCGGAGTGACGGGCAGCAAAAGGTTCCCAAACATTTTTTAATTAAAAACTAATGTGGCGAAAGTGTGTGTGGGTTGAAGATACTCATTCACCCCTAAATACTCGCCCGCACACACCAAGTAAATTACGCCTAATTGCGAGTGTTTAATTATGCACTAGTTTAATTTTATGGTCTTGTGGCTTGGGGCCCACCCGAAAATATATGAAGACATTTGGGTTGGTGGCAAGTGTTGTGGGCTGTCCATACCGCTCCACGGGATGTGGAGACTAGCGAAGAGTCCTTCTCGCCTAATCTGCTTGTGTGTTTGCTGATAATTCCCAGCTTTAATTTTCGCAAGCGTAGTCAAAGTAGCAAATAATTGCTTGCTTGTCGAGTAAGTTTGTTTATCTGGCCTTATGAGCACACAGGCAAAAATGTATAGCAGCTTCAAATGATAATATACATTAAAGAAAGTCATGAAGTATTTCAATGCCGACCTTAATTAAATATATAATATAGAATGTAATGTAATTGTAATGTCCTATAATTCCAATCGACGGACAGCAAAGTATATCTTTCTGGGTATTAAAATTCAGACCACTTATTCCTCTATTTTTACACAAATTGTTTTCGGGGCATATTAGAAATTTACTTTGCGCTCAAGAGGAGCCAAGAAACAGGAGCTGTGGAGCCTGTTTATAAGTACTTGGAAATTCCTACGCCTCAACACAAAAGGAAAATTGGTAAAAGTTTATTTTCTCGGTTTGCTTTCCTGTTTTTGTTGTCGGTTTGGCCCGAAGGGGTGTGGCAATTTGCGGTTGCAAACTTATAATGTGTGCAAATTGGTCTATGAAAAAATCATGTGTGAAAATTTCAAAGTGGAAGACGAGGCAAACGGAGGCAGGAAAAGAAAACTTGGAAATTGTATTGCCTACTTTTATGGGCTGCTGAAAGAAACCCAACGAGGGTGGGTTGTAGAGTCTATATCCCCCCAGGATCGTAACGACCTTTTGCGGTTTTCCGTCGGCCGGCATTCAGACTTCAATTAGCCCTTGAAAATAGATAGCCCAAACAAAAGGTCGAAAGCAAATAAAAGAAAAGAAAAGCAGAGACGCCGGCCATAGAAACCTTTCCCCATCGACACCTTTTGCAAATTGAACGCTCATTATTCAGACAAAAGGGAGACCATGTCGATTGAAGGCCGGGTCTGGAAACAATTTAAAATTAATTGGTTTCAATGTCTGTCCTGGCTGTGGTTGTTGCTGATAGTAGATGAAAAACCTGGCCTACAAATTGGTCAGCTTCGTCCCGCCTTTTCTTCTGTGTGGTTTTCTCAGAAAATGAAATCATTTGAAAGTGTTTGCAGGCCCCCAACTGCGATCCTTCGAACCCATGCAAACAATGAAGCCAAAAAGGGTTTCTACTTTCCTCCTTTTCGTTTGCAATAAACTCTCTTTTTTCACAAGCTTGCCTAACCATCAAAAGGATGAGACGAGAGGCTGTAAAAATGCAGGGTTGGAGTGGAAAGGCGGCCTAATTAAATGAAAATTCATGGCGTATGCTCTGACGAAACTTTTCCATGTTGTTTTCCGTCTGCCTTTGTTGTTCTTGTTCTTGTTGTTGTTGTTGTTTTTGTTTCCCCCCTGAAAAGTATCCCAAAATTACTGCCAACAATACTTTGAATATTTTTGCAACAAGGCGACACGGTGGGCGTGTCTGGTGTGTAACACATAGCACACAACCTTGTTTTGTTAATAAGATACAATGTTGTTCAAGCAAGTCTGATACTCTTAAACGACGTTCTGGGTATAGCCCTTGAGGATTATTAAAAAAAAAATCCCTAAATATGAAGTTTTAAAAATTTAAAATAAAAAAATATTTATTTGTCATCGGTCTATTACAATGTTAAGAGTATTTATTTATTTTCTTTCAGGAATTTTAAGCTGCTTTCAGATTTGGTTTTTTTTTCAGAGAAGAAGAAAACGGTATAAATTCTACCACAATATGTATTAATTACATTTTAAAAATCCTTCTGTGTTTTCTCTTGTATTTTTTATAATATTCATTGTTATTTATTAATTTCATGACCTAACTGTATTTGTTAAATATTAGACAAAAGATTGATTATATTTAACTTTGTGTAAAATATTAAAAAGTTATCCGATATAAAACCAATACATTCTTCTTAAATCACAAGAAATTTTAAATTATTATTATCACAGACTTCGTATTTTAACCGCACTACACCCATATATAATTTAATCTAGTTCTCTGAAAATCTAAAGAATTGCCTACCTAGAAATTTTTGAAAATTTTTGTAGAGTATTACCTGTTCGATAATTTGATCTCTTCTTTTTGCCTCGTTGTTTTTCTGCTTTTTAAAAGCCGTTTTGTTGCCTGGCAGCCAACGAAGACTGAGCTGCGTGTGTGGTTTGGCAATTATTTGAGTAGTACTACAGGGCACACACCCACACTCGCACGGATCAGAAAAACACACACGAACACAGATGTACATAATTACTTTGTATACATTTGCATGGCAGACTGCGGAAAGGGAGGGGCAGTCATCACAGAGAACAATCAGTGCGAAACATTGTAATGCGAATACGTATACGCAGTGTGTGCCAGTGCGACTGAGGCTCAGTTTGGAGCTCCTCCTCTTTGCCTGCTTTCCGTGTAATATGCTGCCATGTTATGTCGTAAATGTCGCTTTTTATTATTTTACATACATTCTTGTGTTCGCCGTACTTTCTCGCCCAGCTTCCTGCATTTCCTTTGTTTTATTTACATTTCAACACGCGTTTGCCCGGATGTCTTTCGTCTCTGTCACAGCCAGTCTTGCTGGCTGTCAGCCGGGTCTAAAAGCGTAGCACATCTAATTTTCTGTGTAATGACAGTCTGTCTGGGATAGACGAGCGGAATGTCTTCAAGCCAAGCACAGAAATATTTAATGCCGCTGATTTTTCTAATTAAATGTCTGCCAACGAGTTGGCAACTGATTAAAGTCGGTTATATATTCGCAGAAGCAGCCATTTATTTTACTCGCGTTCGCCACGCTTGCCTGCACACATTAGTCGCACCTGGCGTATGCGTAATGCATTGTAATTTTTCCTGAAACTCACAGGCACTTCCTTGGCTTTTATTGCCCACTCTAAGCTGATTTATTTGGGCTCTAATGAAATTTGTTTCCTGCGCAGCGGGGCCAGAGAAATAAAATTAAAAGAATATTCTCTAGTCGAAAAAATATGCTTGGGGAATTTAAAAATGTTAATACAATATTGCCCACGTCTTTCCTTGCAAGTTATTCACCAACACTTTCATAAAAATATGTATTTAAAAAGAGATGAATGAACTTAAGTACAATACAAATTTCTTTTATATAATATATATTTTCTTTAAATATGTTTCCTGGGATAACTAAGAGAGGCTTAGCAGATGTTTTTTTTTAATTTCGTGTTGCTTAAATTTAATTACAATCCATTCGCTATTAATAAGACATATTTATTTCAATATTAGCTAAATAATTGCATTGACACTTATCTAATATATTAGTTTTCAACATTTTCAAGAATGCAATCAATAATTTCTTTGTAAAAGTTTTTCCTTCAATATATAAGTTACTGCAATTTAATCAAATTCGTTAAAAAAAAATTTTGAAGAAAATTGTTAGAAAACTTTTTCTGTACGTATTTTTTACGAATTATCAGCTATTTTTATATATATACGTGTTTAATTAAGCATACTGGAACATGAGTAGTCTTCCTAGAATTCATAGATTGTACTTATTAGAAATTCCCAATTCCAATTTACATTATCGCAACTAACTACATTTGATTGGCACAGTTTGCTTTGCCCGCAAATTTTAGACCCAAAAACTAACTTAATTTCTCACGTCATTAAACAAAGCTTACGCGTAAAATCTAAAACACAAAAAAACGAGACAAAACTTCATTGAAATATCCACCAAAGTGCAAACGTAATTAATTAAAATGCAATTGGCATTTCCGGCCAATAACCGCAGCAATAAAATCCATCAGGATCAACAAATTCACAGCTAATAAAAGCAATTTGCCATAGATATCATTTCCATTTGTTGATTAGTTAAAAATAATGTGAGCTCAAACTTACCGCAATATTGTGTTTAATTTTGAGTTGAATTCGGTGGTTTGTTGGTGGGTTAGTCGAGCGATTTATGGGTCTGTCTGTCGCGTTTTAATTAAATTGATAGTGAGTGTGTGTGTGGGGAACGTGCCGCAAATTAAACACGCGACTCACTGAGACGAGACTTTTTAATTGACACACATCCACGGCACTTGAGTGGGGAAGAGGATGGTGATGATGGGTTAAGGATCGGTTCAGTCACCTTACAGTCTGGGTCTATTTTTTTTTTTGGGACGAACACTACGCGACATGACGTTATGCTGCAGGACGAAGACTGAACGCGACGTGGTGTCCGTGGCGGTGCGTGGGTGTGAGTGTTGCAGGTTGCAGATGCAGCAGCGACAGCAGCAGCAGACGCAGTAGCAGTAGCAGTTGGAGGAGGAGCAGTCACAACGGAGCTGAGTAGACCAGGCCACCTACAACACGCAACGACGACTGAACGAGCGATGGCCCAAGGACCAACAGCACAGCCCCAAAAATACAGAAGTCCTTCGCAGCAGCAGCAGCAGCAGCAGCAGCAGAGCTGTGGCAGCGACAGGAGCAGCAGCAGCAGCGGCAGCAGCAGCACAACAGCAACATGAAGGAAAATCTCAGCTAAGCGAGCACGAGAGAGAGAACGAGTTTCACGGGCGGCGAAAGAGAGAAAGCGCCGACACGAGGCGGGCATTTTCCATTTTCCGCGAAGCCTGCAATTTGCGTAGCCTATCGGCATTTTCCGGCGTTGCACGGCTGTAAAATTGCTCGTACAATGCAATGAGTTGTCGCTGATGTTGCTCCTTCGTGAGAGCAACGCGGAACGCGACGGAATCGGAACATGCAGTGCTGGGTGATGTAAAGGAATTTGGATGAATTTATGGGGCCGGTAAAATTAACATATGATTTACTAAAATTTCTGTATTTTTGATTTATTATAATTAATAATTAATATTAGTATATAAGTATAAATTGTATATTAAAACCAGAATATATTTATAATCTATCATTAACTATTATTACCAATCTATAGTTCTTTTAAAATACTTTAGTAATGTTAATATTTCTATTAAAAAAAACTAATTAGTTTCGTCTTTTTTTTAATAGTTGATCCCAAACAATTTTTGAGCCTTAAAATTAGGGTTTCAACAGATTATTTAAAAATGGTTAACTAAACCAAAGATTAAATTTATTTTTACAGCTAGCGAAGGAATTTCTAGTGCCTTAAATAAAAAAAAAATAAAAGTTCTAATCAAAAAATGGTGTCCAGGATAAACGAAAGTCTGTGACATTTCTTTGGATTTCGTATTATTTCTAAATCAAAATATTCCTTCTCAGGACCTTTGAATTTAACAGAACAGTGGGTGCAGCTCTGTGATGAGTTAACAGGACCCTCAGAGGCAGCATCACCGAAGCGGAAGTGAAACAGTTAACCGTTCGCTTTCTCTCTCCCAGCGGCTCTACAGTTCTCTCTTGCTCTCTCGAGTCTCTCTTGCGCATGCGCTTCCAGGAAGAAGCCGAACCGCAGACGAATTCCGATGCTGGCCCTCGGTTATCAGCTCGTCGATATTGAGAATCCACGAATTCCTGGCAGCGGACAAAGCGTAACTTGCTCCACATATTCTAGCCCTACTTACACACATACACCATGGCGTTCCGCACACTCACACACACATGCAGAAATACAGGATTACAGCGCTGCTTGCGCCCATTAGCCGATGCTGCGCTGCCGGCGTCGCAGTCGCTGCGCAGGATGGGCTTTGTTGTTGTTTCGGCCGGCGCTGCTGCTGCGCTGCCGCCAGCTGTTATCACCAACAAACATTGACGCTGCTGATAAGAGCAAAAGTGGCAACCGAGGCACATTAAAACCAACAACGACCCAATTCCTTTGCCGCCATTGCCACTCCTGCTGATAATGACGAGGATAATGATGATCCCTGCGCTAGTCATTGGCCCCAGTTGCCAATTCCCAGGGGTCAAGCCGGGGAGCAGGTATTTTGATTGGTTTTCCACTACGGCAACATAGTTGGGTGCACTGAGAAAAACTAATCTAGTTAGATTATATACGAGTGTGCTAATCTCACTTAAACAATACTTCCACAGCTACTTAAAAATCATACTTCATTTTAAGTGATCAAATATTTAATATTTTCTTTTTTAATTTCTGCAAAAAATTATTTTTTAGTCTGGAAAAAAAACAAACTATCTGGTGTGTATTATATTTATATAGATTCAATTTGCTCAGTGTCTAGAAACTGTATTTCTGTGAATAAGAGCTTTTTAAATAACTCACCAAACACGAAAACGATTTAAATGAACATCGGCCAGCCAGCCAACAAAAACCATTCCACTTTGGGCCTGGCATTTTAATTCTCGTGTTCAACTTTGAACATTTTCTACCTTGGTGCCCCCACACCCCCGAACTTAATTAAATGTTGTTGGAAAAATGCTTTTCATTTAGGCTGCATAAATTACAAAGCAAAAGTGCCACTCGCAACTTCAAGGAGGAAGCCAAATCTTTTTTCGGCCCTTCCCTCTGAAAAGCCCGAGGCGTTGACTAGTGGCTAAATTATGGGGTGTGGCTCAGCTTATGCAAAATAAAATAAGTGTCTTTGGCCATTTGTAGTCGTCTTCGGAGTTTTTTTTTTCTTAGGCGAAACAGTATATTAAATAGGTCAAGATGTTAAGCTAACCCTGTGAATTTATGAATATAAAAAGGGTTTTGCACTAGGTTTTGCTTAAATTGGATTTACCCTGATAAAGGATTTTCCTTTCTTTGTTGTACGCCATTTATTTAAATTTACATTTTTTTTTAAATTTTATTAAGCTTAACCAAACTTAAATCAATGATACAAAAAATCAAAGTTTAAAATATTAAATTCACTTGACCAAAATAAATTTAAAAATAACTTTAAAAACCAGCAGCGGAAATAATGGTCGCTATGTGTCCATGTAGGTGTGTGAATATTTGTTTACAATTAGGTGAATATTAAGAGCTAGTGTTTTGTTAATATTTCTTACAACCCTAGAGATGGACCCCGATGGGGTTTGAAATATATTGGAAAAAAAGTAGAAAGTTTCTTTTAATAAATTAACAAGTAAGTCAGACCTTTAGCCAGCCGAACTCACCAGACTAAAAAACCAGGTCACCAAGAATTTTAAATAATAAGTGAACTTGTTTCTTTTAGTAATTTTATCTTAAATGTACCCAAAAAAGAAATATTGTTAGATACCAATAGGACTCCATGAGGCCTCCACAAATTGATGTTTGCCAGAAAAAGGCGCAAAAGCGATTACACTTTTCTCACCACAGGACACTGGGCAAATTACACTGGGAATGTCCTGCAGCGTTTCTTCACCCCACAAAAAAAACCGAAAAACACTCCACACCGACTTGTCATTTGTTTCTTATTGTAATTTATGTGCAGGCAGCGATTTATGATTACATTGTGATTTATAACGAATAAAGGCTTCAGCTGCTGCCGTTCCAAATATCCAAGGGTTGAGCAGCAGGAGGCTCGAAGGACTCTGCCAACTCTCACCTAATGTCACACGGCTGGTAAAAGTTTTGTGCAAGTTGTCAAAGTTTTTCAGCAGTTTTTCAGCTGCTTGTTTCAGCTGCTTTTCACCGGCAAAGTTTTCCCCTCGATATTGTTGCAAGTACAACGCAAAAAATGGCATACAATCTGTCAACGTTAAGCAGGAATGGCAACGAGGCAACCGAGCAAGTCAAGAAAATCAATTGAAAATTGGCCATCGAGTTTTTGGGTGGCGACTGTCTCAGGTGTTTATGAAAATTGTTTTATTACAAGTACAGGCAAGGATTTTCTTTAATTCAAAAAAACTGGTTAATTCAATAAAAAATAAACTTTATTGTAATTTTCAATGAAACAGAATTTTTTTACATTTTATTAAAATAAGATTTATAAATGGGTCTTTTTAAACTATCGAATCGTTTCAAATTTTTTAAAGCAAAAAGTATACATTTTCAGTATTAAAAATCTACAAATATTTAAATTTTTCGTCAACTTAAACAAAGAGGTTACTTACATTTTTAAAAGTTCTTTTTTCTTAATTGTTTAAAGGGTATTTTAAAAAATGTTGAGTAATGTTTAAGATCATCGTTGAAGTCCTTAATTTCATAACAAACCTATTAGAATTTAGTAGAAATTTGTTTATTTATCAACTTTTTTAAGAGATTTTTGATTTTTAATGTAATATAAAAATATAACCCTAATATTTTTGTAGTACGTAGTTCAAGTTTTCTATCAAATTATTTCAAGAGGAATCGATAGGCTTGGCTATACGTTTTTGAGTGTTTTTATCTCGCAATTGACAGTTACAATTCCATTAGGCGACAACCGCCCCGGAAGCGTCTACAAATTGGCGCTTATACATTTTTCATGTACTTGGCATCATTTTCGAGTGACCCCAACTGACAGGAACGCGTGTTGCCACGAGTTGCGGCTGTTCCGCCTGAAATGTCAAACAAACACCGTCCAAATTAGCCCAACCACCCGATTGGTGGGTGGTGGGGTGAATGTAAAACTTTATTCTGACAGCTTTTGGCCTCGGACACCTTGGGCCAGGACATGTCAGACGGAAGCCAAGGAGCAGGATGCTGACGAGACGAAATTTTTCTAATGCCATTTAAGCGCTTTAAAAAGTTTAAAATTGTAGCATATTCTTGTTTTATTACATTTTTCTTGATTGCTTTAGACTCTATTATATTGTTTTATTAAAGATCTTGAATTTGATTTGTTGTTGTGGGTTGCTTTTCTTTTTCAAATTTATTTTTAGTGTAAATTTGGTGTTTTTTTCTTATTCTTCTATTTTTTTTGATTTTTTTTTTCAAAAAGTTTATTCTTAAATTCTTAATATTTCTGTAATCCGCAACTGCATTATTGAAATTTCTGGTTTCCCTGTTAACACGGTAGTCTCATGCATTTATTCAAGCAAAGTGTAAGCGTTTTTTATGAAAAACCAATGCAGTATATACACAGTAAATATAGACCAAAATTTTAAGCGGATTACGTCAATTAAATATTCTGTTATTTTTGTAGCCAGATGAGATAATCTTTCCGTGGCTGATGTCAGCTACCAATATGTTTTGCCGGAAAAAGCCCAGCTCATCCTTCAACTTTAATCATGACCCAAAAGAAGTCTGGCGTGTGCTTATCAGCCACCTACCTGAACACAGAAATCATAATTAATTTAGCTTGAAAACTGCCAGCCAACATCAACTTGAGCCTAATTTTTGCTCTGTTCTGCCCGCCGAGAGCTGTGCAGGAAAGTGCTTGGTAATTACTTTTGGCATGGCAGCGATGAAATCGCTAGAAAATCACACAATTCAGGCAAAGGAAATTAACTCATTTCCACATAAATTAGTTCCGATTTCCGGCGCTCTCTCTGGCGAAATATTATGCGTCGATTATGATTAACGATCAT